GGAAATGTTGATACATTTTTTTTAACGTAATATTACTATTAATCTCTATGATAAAACGTTGTAGAAGATAATTTTTAGCGACATGGGATATTTTTGTTAGCAATGCACGCTATAATGTATATGTGTGCTTGTCCGTTTCTAAATCTTTTTACGTCCGATTATATACGGTACGACATAGTTTCTCCAGTAAACTTGCGGCTATGTATCACGTGCGATATCGCACAACTACAGGATATTATATCTTCGCGAACGTACTTGCCGCGTTTGGTGCGACACAATGTTCCGCGTGCAACGGGATTATTAACACCTCGAGATGTGACAGGTGAAAAATTCGCGTCGTCTTACATCATCGAGAAAATTCCGCCTTTGACAATTACAGTAAAGTACAGCCGCGCCGTGTTATGCTTGTTAATTTATCGAGCGGTCCATAAAATCGTCCGCTGGAAAAGTGTCACTGGTAATAGTAGCAAAAATGCGCTATTCTGGCCACGTGTCCACGCTTCTCAGCGATCCGTGACTAAGAATTTTGCATAGCACAGCCGTGTTGTGTTACACATTACAAAACGCGAGCGACACGATATCGATAAATAATTTTCACCGAGTGTCAAAACCAGCTTGCTGCTGAATATACACATGTACGGACGGTAAATGAAGTGTTTCTTTTAAGCTCCAACAGTGAAAAAAATTATTAAATTAATAAATATCTATTTCAATACTGCCTAATCAATCATTTCTTTGATAACAATAAATATTTATCTGTTTTGAAAAGGATTTTCTTATATCAAACAAATATCTTTCACATCAAATCAGTATTATTAGTTATTAGGCAGTATTGAAATAAATATTTATTCAAAGTTATTCAATGAATTTTTTTTCGAAACTTTGTTAATAATTGATCGATGAGATAACTCAACGTCGTCTTTGCTGTCATTTAAAATCATACACCTTAATTAACGTTTTGTGACGTATAGAGATGGTTCGCTATCCTCCGTTAAACACTTCCCTTTGAATATAAATCAACTTTCTCGTTAGAATTCCTGGAAGGTATCAAAGCGGGTATAAATTGAGCGGACATAGTTTGCCGACTGTTTCTCAACTGTCCGAACAATTTGTCCGGCATGTAAATGTTGAATTTCAAGCAGTCGTAATTGATTGTAAATATGGACGTGTACATGATGCATTCTCTGGGATCTGGGTCGATCTCAGGAGCCAATGGAACACGTTCTCAGATTTGAGATTAGATCTCTCATAGACACCCTGTATATTTAAGATGATCCGACTCGACGATAAGACAGAGTGATCGATAGCGCGGTCGGTTTAACGCGTTCGTCGTGGAATAAATTCCGATCGAACTATCGAGAAAGCAATTCAAACCGAAGCCGACTCACGAAGTTATTGATAAAGACGATGATGAAGAACGGCGATAAAGTACTGGCAAATATACGGCACATAGATTATTAACGAAACTAAATATTTTAGCAAAGTGGAGATCTATCAGTAATATGAAATTATAAATATTGAAAAATTTGTTGTAATAATAATCAATCGAGTTTATCTTTCTCCCAACATAAATTGTAAGGAATAATTTAATGATTGATCATCTTTTTGAGTGTATTAGAAAAAAATCGAAAACTGGGAAAAGTGTACAGGCACATTCAGTTAAAGAGAAAAGTAAAAAGGAAATATCTCTCAGCTTTCAAGGAAGAGCATAGCTACTTCTGGTTAGAAAATCCTAGAAGTAGCACGAACTCCTTCTAACGCTTCACACGATTCTCTCGCGATAAATATAATTAATCGCCAAGCAGACAGTTCCTTCAATCATCGAGATCAGCGTTGTGCTTAGATGATTTTAAAATTAGTTAGATAAAAATGAGATGAAAAAATGTAAATTCATATTAGACAAGATGAAGATAATTTAAACCGCTTATGTAAACACAATTATAAAAAATGTAAATTATAAAAGAGATATAATAATATATTTATATTTTTATTTCTAAGTTTTTATCGCTCGCTGCTTAAATTCTACTACTTCAATATTTTGATGTACTATAACTAAACCAAATTATCTGAACATTATTCTAGATAATTTAATAAAGATACTTTTTTCTTATCTATATAAATACACAAGATGACGCCAAAATTTCATCTAGAATCTAGATGATCGTGGATATAATTTTATTTAAATAACAGCACCGATCGAGATATATAAAAATAACAATGAAATGGAACACCTTCTCGTGCCACCGCTGGCGGGTAAAGAAACAAACGGAACACCCTCGGCATCGTAAATCGCGCTCTCGATGACTCGATAAGCACGTGCGCATACAATAAAAAAAGCCTATAAACTGCCGATCTCCGATCGGCGATCGGCAGTTCGATCATCGATACCCCCGGTTAATGACCACTTCCGGCGGGAGCCGTACACTATCGGCGCGCTCATTGATAAATGATTACGTCGGTGACGTCGCTGCGGTGGGTGGCCCACCTCGTGTGAAGGACGCGGATTGCTCGCGTGTGCATCGGCGCGAGATTCGCGACCGCGATATCGGCTGGCCCCGCCGATCAATATGTACGAAGGAAAGCCGCGGCGCACTCGCCGGGCACTCGTTCTGCGACACCGCGGATCGATCGATCCACCGGCCGTTTATCGGCCGTTCCGATCGATAGAGAGAGAGAGAGAGAAAGGGAGGATGGTCCACATCGATCCGCGGGCGGATACCTACACGGCGGGCCGATAAATCGTCGGCGACGCCGACGGCGACGTCACTTCGACGGCGTCGAGGAATTGAATCGGTCAGTGGTGGAAGGACTGGCTCGTGTGTGTGCGCTACCAGGTGCTTTTCTGTAATTCTCTTTTATTTGCGTTGCAGCCGGAGTATCGCGTGTGCGGAATGACGCGAGTGTGTTGACACACATATTTTAAATTATAGTCTATATAGTCGATACTTGTGTCGACTTTCCATCGAATATATGCAAATATGAACAAATTATCTATAATTATATTGTATGGTTTTTTTCTTCACAATTATATTGTATGATATTGTATGGTTTTTTCTTCACAATTGGCCGCGAGAAAAATTTGCCTTGTCTCTTTAAAATTTTAGGAGAAAGATTAAAAATAAAAATAAATTACGTAATTTTTTTCGAATAAATCTTCCAGATAATTGATTATGTCGATTTTCTATCGAATATTATGCAAATCTGAAAAAAAATTATCTATAATGATATTGTATGATTTTTTTTCTTCACAATTGGCCGCGAGAAAAATTTGCCTTGTCTCTTTAAAATTTCAGGAGAAAGATTATAAAATAAAAATAAATTCACCCCAAGAAAAAAGGATATATTTTTTCGCAATATATATTTACTTACTTTTTTCGAATAAATCTTCCAGATAATTGAATAATGGATCTTCTAGATAATTGATTAATGATCTACAAATTAAAATCGCAATTGCCATGTCGAATCTTCATTCCTCTTCTTCATTTCTGAACATGAAATAAGCGCGCGTAATTCGCAATTACTCGATGGAAATTACACGAGATTGTGTAACGTTCTCGAAATGTCGAGATGTTTGAACTACGAGCATGAATTGTTACGTAATCTCTCTTTGTACATTTTTATTTTATTATTTGGTAATAAAGAGAAGCGAAAAGTTCGACATGCTCGCCTATCTTTTATTTCCAGCCGAATTCGCCGACTTGAACGCTGACGTTTCGAAAGTTTTCGCCCGAGATATAGGAAAAAAGAAGTCGTATACGCGCCTCTCTTTCAAGCGAAACGAGCTTGTTTCATAATAAGGGACGCTCCTTCATTGCTGAAGAGAATTGGGGACTTTAATGCGAGCAACTCGCGCGCAATTATCTCTGCTTTCTAATTCGAGCGCTTGCGAAGACGTTTGTGAAAATGGTCCCTTTCGCTGTGTCGGTTATTAAATGGGGATAACCCTTTCTGAGATAATCTCGCGAGACTTTCGAATCTTCCATCTTAAACGTACAGATGAGGAAATGAAACATCTGATTGTGAGAAAAGATGGGATGCAAATCGAATATTTGTGAACTCGATAGAGACTAAGAATTATTTTATTATTCCATTTTCAACGTCAGTTTTCACGAGAAATTATATAAAAATGTATCTATCTAATTGAAAGAAAAAAGCTATATAATGAGAGATTGCAACATTGTGTTACGTGAATACGATTTTATTAAATAAGGACGTAATGCAAAACAAATGCATAATCGTTTCTTCGTTACCGGTAGCAGAAGCGACTTTCTCGCGAGGAAAAGCAAAGTTTCCCGAGTCGGTGGTCGATCTTACACGAGCGTGTCTCCGTGTTTTGTTCCATGTGACTTGATGAGCTACCATTGCTGAAAGCGACTAGAAAGACCAAGTTTTACCTGCTCTCCACGCGGCTTTGTTAACGAAATGTCGAACGTTTTATGTTTGAAACCATCTTGGCACGGCTTTCCGAGAATTCTGTTTCGTTCCTATTAATTATCGAAGGCATCCTATATTCCCCTGCCTTTCGGCTCGATAATGTTTCTCTCCGGCGAAACAATGCAACGTTTCATCAGAAACTGGTCTAGGCCTCACATGTTCCAGTAAAAAAAAAAAAATAATAATATACATCGTTGATGTTCCCCTCGAGTTAGGGAATTATATTTGTTAAATATAATTGTACAGAGAATGCGAAATATTAAAAATAGCGATATGCAGTTTGATATCGAATTTTCCGAAAGATTTAAATTTGGATGCAATCAAACATTTGAAGTGTACTCGATATATAAAAAAGAATTACATCAATTTTTAGAAAAATAAAAATAATTATTTAGTTATTTATATTGAAAATAAAAAATAAAAAAACATTCGAAACAGAGCCTCTTTACATTCTTCTAATTCTTCTTATACCGAAAATCTGTTTTATTTATAAATGCTGAAAAAATCTAAATAGCAGAGTATATTTTTCATGAAATTCTTAAAAATCGATGATTTTTCGCTTTCAGGTTCGCGATATCGTGGAGGAATGCACGTGTCCGACGCAATTTCCGATGATTCACGTGGCCGAGGGCAAGTACCGGATCGGCGACACCAAGGTCACGATCTATGTCCGGGTCCTGCGTAGTCACGTGATGGTGCGTGTCGGTGGTGGATGGATACTCTCAGCCATTATTTAGAGAAACACGATCCGTGCCGATGCAGGAACTGTAAGCATCGCACATCACGTTTTATCAAAGCTCTCTTCTTAAACAAGTTGCAACGATCCTAACGATCGATCTTCCTTCCGGATTTTTCAGCGCATCGCTCGATGGTCTCGGCGAAGCTCATTCAAAAGGCCAGCGGATCCTTCGATCTGGGCAACGCGCAGGTGCATTACGAACGGTGAGCATCTGCTCTTTTTTATTACAGTGCAATTTAATGAAGTATATACACAGGTGCAATATGCAGATTACATTCGATGGCGATATATATATAAAAGGGGATTTATTTTCTCACATAGAGTCAAATACTGACAACGTTCAATTGAAACACACGTCAATATATATTTTTGTTTTCTTTCTGCGGTAATTTCCTTTATTTTTAGTATTTTTTTATTATCTTGCACGAATTATTTCAAACCTAATTTTGAGTAGTTGATAAAATTTTTATGTCAAATTTATATTTTTTAATTCGACATTTAATATATACTAATCATTATGATTATCGCTATCTATGTTCTACATTTGAGTGTAAATCCAGTGTTGCATTAGCGACGCTGCTATGGACATTCTATAGCACGATATTTCGCATGAAATAATAAAATACACGAATGCATAAACACGCACATGGTACCATTGTTACATATATACATCGTGCACAATACCGTCTATAAGTAGACTTCCTCGAGAGAATGAATTTTTTTCTCATTTTTTTAAATAGAAATAATATCGTATCACGTTTTACATCTTCCATAATTTTGCCGTAACAAGCGTAAAGCAAATTTCTTCCACGTTAACGATTTTTCTCATAAATCTTCCTAATCTTATCTACGCGAACTTATGCACGGTATTGTACGCGTCGTGACATTTCATCGCGAATACGAAAACGGGAAATTCTCCGGTGCACACCCGGTCAACAGCATTGCACAAGCCGATATAACGACCGACATGAATTCCGCCATAAAGCCCGCGGTCGTTGTTCTCCACCTCCAGATCATCACCTCCAAGAACCAGGCGGAGTTCCGCGTCGAGCGTCGGTTCGGTACAAAATCTGCAATCGGCGCAGCTGCACGCACCACCCAGGAGCATTTCCAGCAATCGCTCGCGATCGCCCACACCTCACCGGCCGACGGCCAGCAGCAAGCAGCAACAGCATCAGCATCAGCCACAATCGGCCGAGGAGCTGAAGAAGCGCTCGAGGAGTCCCACGCCGCACAGGAAACTGCTGGCGAGTCCGAATCAGACCGATTTGGCGAAACAGAGATCGAGGTCGCCGACACCTAGGGCGAACCTGAGATCGAGGAGTCCGACGCCGCGGAAAAATACAGATTCGTCCAGGAGGAACGTCAACGAGGAGGCGCGATCGCCAACCTGTCACGGGAAACTTCCGGAAAACGGCCGAGTAAGTTTGTTCTTTTATTTTCTAATGCGCAGAGAGAATTTTTCTTCAAATTTACCCGAGAAATCATATGGTATGGTATCGTGGGACAAAATGGTATTGGAAGAATTTTATAAGAGTGGATTCAGATTTTTGTCACAATAAAAATATTAATCAGAGAAACTCTTATAATAAAATTCTTCCATTATCATATTGTCTCACAACATATCCTCCATCACAAACATTCTCTGCATCTCTTCTGGATATCCTTGAACGTTTTTTAAATATACGTACTGTTAGAGTTATAAGAAAATTCTCTCCGTGTGCTTAAAAAATTCTAAATATTAATAGAATTGTTATTTAATCTAATATTTATTCCGTCGTTATAAAAAATTCTCAGAAATGATATCGATTATATGAATTTCATCGAAATAACTAATGGTGCTATTGCTTTCGCGTCGTTCGGAATGTAAGCAGACAGACGGAAGATGAAAGGGAATACGTAATCGGAATCGGATTTGTTTGCTCTGTCCAGGAGAGCGGCCTTAAAGTGCCGGGCGAGTTTACGAAACGATACATCGTGGAGGGTGGCGTGGCGCGTCGCGCCGTCGAGAGGGATGACACGCCGAAGTACGAGCCGTCCATCTACAACTACAAGTGCAGCGAGGACTCGAGTGGCAGTCGAAGCCCCACGCCGAGCAAGGAGGAACAGCCGCCCATCGAGACTTTCGGCAAGGACACCCAGGCGAACACCCAGAAGTCGCCGCACGGAGACGGAGAGCACTCGGACAACTGCAGCGAGGTCTCCGACGAGGGTTACCGAAGCCTCGGTGCCGTCCAATCGTCCACCGCCAACGGGAATTCCGCCAGTACGCAGAGCTCGCCCACGGTTGCCGAGTGTCAAAGTAAGTGGAGACTCTGTATATACATAATAATACACATGCAGGGTGTGTTCAAATAAGTGAAGAAAGATTCAGGTTTTTCTTTTTTCTCAAATTTCAAACAAATGAGAAAAATCAAACTTGGTGCGGATATTTTCCGTTCCATTTTTTTAATTTGCCCGAAACTCTTATGAAAAAACATAAAAATTTAATTTCTTCCTCTTTAGAAAAGTGTAACTCCTCAGGGAGAGATATAAGAGTATATGTTTATACTGTAGACTCTGTATATACATAATAATACACATACAGGGTGTGTCCAAATAAGTGAAGAAAGATTCAGGTTTTTCTTTCTTCTCAAATTTCAGACAAATGAGAAAAATCAAACTTGGTGCGGATATTTTCCGTTCCATTTTTTAATTTGCCCGAAACTCTTATGAAAAACATAAAAATTTAATTTCTTCCTCTTTAGAAAAGTGTAACTCCTCAGGGAGAGATATAAGAGTATATGTTTATACTGTAGACTCTGTATATACATAATAATACACATACAGGGTGTGTTCAAATAAGTGAAGAAAGATTCAGGTTTTTCTTTTTTCTCAATTTCAAACAAATGAGAAAAATCAAACTTGGTGCGGATATTTTCCGTTCCATTTTTTAATTTGCCCGAAACTCTTATGAAAAAACATAAAAATTTAATTTCTTCCTCTTTAGAAAAGTGTAACTCCTCAGGGAGAGATATAAGAGTATATGTTTATACTGTAGACTCTGTATATACATAATAATACACATGCAGGGTGTGTCCAAATAAGTGAAGAAAGATTCAGGTTTCTTTCTCTCAAATTTCAGACAAATGAGAAAAATCAAACTTGGTGCGGATATTTTCCGTTCCATTTTTTTAATTTGCCCGAAACTCTTATGAAAAAACATAAAAATTTAATTTCTTCCTCTTTAGAAAAGTGTGACTCCTCAGGGAGAGATATAAGAGTATATGTTTACGTAAGAAACCCTCCTTAATTTTCGTCAAAAAATCATTTCCTAAAATTTTTCGCATTTACGTATTTAGATACACCCCGTATATATTCCGTACGCAAATTACGTGAATTTAAATGGAATTGAAAAAATGAAGACACTAAGTATCTCCCTTATCCGAGGATAAAATTGATCGTTTCGATTTGGAAAAAAGAAACTGATAAAGACTGTTTCTATTGTCCGCCGAGTGAATATACGGTGACACTCTGATCGGTTGGACCCTCGAGTGTTCAGCGTTTGAACGTGCACTCGCCAGCGAGCGAGTCATCGAATTTAATACGAGAATGCGCGGGATGACGAAGAGGACAGAGATATGTGGAGATGCACAAACGCGCGTATTGTGCGATCGAGACGATGTCGCGTGTCAAAGCGCGAGAGACGGAAGAGAAAAATCTCTCTCTCCACATGCCAATGCGAATCGAGAGATTAAATTCGATTACGGTGGCGCGAGAGAAGGCAAGAGAGCGATTCGAGAGCTTTGTCCGCGAAAATAGAACCAGATCGCGCGTATGCTCGTGCGTTTATCTCTGCCTGTCGATCTCGCGAGTATCGACAACGACGAATTAATTCGCCCGTTGAGGCGGCGAACGCTTTGCGCGGCGATAGATAGGGATGATAAATTTTCTTTGTCCAGAGGAAAGAAAGGTATAAAGGGTAAAAGTTACTTTGCGTGAAAGGAAAAATAGAAAATAAAAATCTAAATTTAATTTTTCGCGATTAATTTTTTAAATTTAAATTATCTTTTCCATAATCTTTTTTGAAAAATTTCTCTTAGAATTTATCATTAAAGTCGAGGTAATTGTTCGAGACAATATGAAAGATTTTTATAAGAGTACATAATACTTATACATAGTAAATTTTAAAATTAATCAAAAATATTTTATATCTTATTATGATAGATAATATTTTTATTCTGGTCAATATAAATTCCAAGTGAAAATTCTCTCTGTATAGTTGTCACGATGCTATCTATTTAAGGAAAATCTATCAAGATTCCGTCGGAACGGCAGCCTGATTTAAATATAAATCTTGCAGTCTATTGATTTATGTTTTTCTCGTGATTTGAAACAAATTATTAATGCCTTAGTGAAGTCGAGAAATCGCGGAGAACCAAAAGCCCCGTTAGTTCATATATACATACGTTTAAACGAGCCGGTAATAGCAATCTTATCCCGCGATGAAAGTCTAGTTTGCATCTCTAGCTCGATCGAACTGTCGTATAAATTCCAATACGATTTACATACAATGTGCACAAATTATTAGGAATTTATACGAATCCACACATACGCGCATGTGCATGTGAGGTTCACTATTTGAACGTCTCGCATTAATTACGCGTCGTTGACGTGAGGGATGTTGGACGCGGCCTTTGTCGATTCATCGAGACCATCCTGTCAATCGAACATGACAAAAGCGTCGCATTCGACATTCGATGGCATAGTAGCTCGTGTCGATCGTGTCTCGTCTGCTGGAGAACACGCGCGAGGACAAACTGTCCCCTGAATTCTCTTTTCTCCCTACACAGAATTCGCGGGTGTCTATGATTCATGACACACTTGGACCACTTTGCGATGAAATATTTCAAGAGCGGTAGAAAATATTCAAGTACACACAGACGATGGTTGCAAGATCGCATTCTTCGCGTCGCGTCGAGCCGGGCTGACATTTAGCAGCTGTGTGTCGATTATACGCGAGGGAGATCGCTCGGAGCGTGGGCGATCTCCAGCAACCTGTCCTCGGAACAATCGCCGCCGGTCGATTCTCGATAACGCTCGTCGTCGTACGTGCTCTCGCCTTGACTCGACTCACTTTAACGCGGCTGTGACGCATTGCCGCGAGTGGAAAAAGTCCGCGGCGCGACGCCAACTCGCTTCGATCGTCCCGAGGCTTTTTCCTATTCTCGGGTTGAACGGACTGGTATAGTTCCGTAGCTTAGACCCGGTGACCTGGACACTTTTCACTTAAAGTGACGCGAAAATAACAAGTTTTTCATGGAGAAACTTGCTTTAATCCAGATCTCGTATGTGCTTGCCAAAACTAGTACTGATATATGTCTGTTTTCTCTGTGACTAAAACTTTGAATTATGTATTTAGTCAGTTAAAATATATCTTTAAATTCTCTCGAGATCTGCTTATAAAGTATAAGTTTTTATTGGTTTTTCTTATAATGAATTATCGTAATTATTTTCTGCGCGGAGATAATTTTCTCTTAGAATTTACCCTGAAAATTATAGTAATCGTGAGACAATATATATGGTATTAGAAAAATTTTATAAGAGTTTCTCTAAATTAATATTTATCACAATAAAAATATTAATATGTATATATAGTAAAATTAATCGAACATATTTTATATCTTATGTTCTCTTGTATAATTTTTCTTATTCTCGACCAATTTCTTAAAGTCTCTAATGTTCGATAAAATTGTAGTTATTATTACAGTCGTCCCTGTGTTTGGTGCCAAAAATTATGAGTATGGTTACTTACTTTTAGATTATTTACGACAGAAAAAAATTTATTTGTTAATAAACAAGGCCCGGAAAAGTTCCGTTTAACGAGATGTTTATATATATGCGCACAAATTTCTGCGTATAGATGTCTAAATACTCGTTTAACAATTTCCCTGCATGCAAAAAATCCAGGCAAAGGAAAGGATCCAAAAACAAGAGATATATGTATGACAAAAGATATACATTAAATGTGAACATCAATAAAAATCTCGACAGCAATTGACGTGGCGCAAATATGGGCCGCATTAGAAGTCTGGTCAAATCCAGACTTGCGGCCGTTTAACTTTATAATGAATACCACGCTATTTATATATCAGGCGCAAGGATGGCCCTGATATGTATCTTTCCAATTCTTTTAGATAAGGCTGTAGTGTGGCAAACTTGCATGGTGCTAGCAAGTATCGTGGCACCGGCAAAGCAATTTCTACCAGGGTTATAATGGTAGATATTAATATTTTTATTATGGAAAATATTAATCAGAGAAACTCTTATAAAATTCTTTCAATACCATATACTGTATAGAAAGTATCGAGAATTTTTAATTTTGTCAGATTTCTGAATTTTATCATAAATCCTCTATATCAAGTGGTTATCCAGAATTGGCATTTAAATACAGATATAATTAGTAGAAAAAATTAATCATTTAGAAAAGCAAAAGAAATATTAAATAGAAGTTTTATTGGAATCATTGCAGAGAAATTTATAATCAGCAGATTTTTATGAATAACCATAATTTACATTTTCAAAATATTGATATTTGCTCCAATTTGTACATTTTATATTTATTCTTAAAATTTATTCACTTATATTCTTTTAGCGCGTATATTATTTTTTTTATCTATAAAGTGTTCTCTATAGAATATAATAATTCATTTACTCTTATTAAAATTGATTGATGCTGTTACATGCATCTCGTTCCATCTGTCATTCATGGTTCATGGTTGAGATGAACTTTCATGTTACATTTCGCGAGAAATGAAAGGACGATCCGGGGCGTTATAGACAACAAATATTCTATCGAGATATACGCAAAGTCGCCGGAGGCGATCCCTGATGATTCATTCATTTACATTGTTATCTTTAATTTATGCGATGGCGCTAGAACGCGTACGCGAAGATGCGCATCGAGGTACCTGACTTGTTTTAAAGCGATGCATACAAACTGCTCTCCGATGCGTGCCGGCACATTTATGACAGTGCGCTCTGCTTCGATTTCAAGGGAGATGTTTCTGTTCAGTCAGGCGAGAAAACTTCTTCCCAGCGTTGAGAGTAAAAACAAAATTGCGCGATTAAGTTAGGTCAGTTAAAACCCGTGAAGACGGATTAAAATCGCAGCAATTTTTTTAGAACTGCTTAGAGAATTAAATCGACGATCGATTAAAGAATTGTCTTGAATTTATTATTTCTTAATTGCTATTTTAATAATCATTTGCCGTGGAATAAAGTACTTTAAAAATCACAAATTAAGTCAGAATATAAAGAGATTAAAAGAATGATGGAAAGTTATATAAAGAAATTATCTCACAAGAAGGTTTAAACTTCGGAGCATGTCCATTCGTCACGTTATAAATGAAGTACTGTCCAAGGGAATTAAGCCTGGTAACGAGGTGCAATTTTTTGAAGCAGCAAACTGAATTTTGCGATTTCACTGGATTCGTTCCAGTGCTTCCGAGCGTGTCGTCGTTATTTGGCAATGCTCAACGTAACATGGTAGTTCCTTTGCAGTAACTTTTATAATAAAATAAATTAGAAGCGGCCAATTTTTTTCATTATGTTTTGCTTTGTGTAAGCGAAATTTTTATTCCGTTTATTATTATACTATAATTATTCTTTTAAGTGTAAAATCGCGATTTTTCTTTTTCAGTATAGATCCTGTTAGTGTAGTTTTTTGCGAGGAAAGAATTAATTCATTCATAGCGAGTTAAATATGTTTTACAAAAATTATAAGAATTATAGATCCAATGATATATGTATATGAAAAGTTTAGAAGCTAGGTGTGAAGGAAATATATAATTTTCTCGTTATAAACTTCGTAAATTATACACATTTATTTTTTTTTTTATGCCATAAACGTCAAATCGATATTGAACGAATATGAGACACCACGATATCGAATCTAATATTAGCAAGCAACGTCAACGCAGATTCCTTTGCAACAAATTTAATTCGTAATTCATTTGCGTAATTTTAATAACAAGTTCCAAGGACTCGGATCGATGAAGATTGAATCCGGTTTAACCAGTAGCGCGTTATTAGGACGAGATCTCGAAATAGATTTTCGATTCTCGGATTTTAATTACGAATTGCGTTCGCGCAAATATATGCATATCTGTCGTATATAACTCAACAAATCTATAATCGCACGCTTTAATATTTATGCGACGTTTTTGCGATTGCGGACATGTTTGAAAAAAACGTAACACGTTATTATGAGAACCCGATCGACTCTTTTAAATTGACGAGGGTTGAGGTTAAACTCAATGTGATCGATGAGCCGTATTTCGAGGAATTATTCTTTTTTAAAAATTCGAGTTTGATGAATATGTTCTCATTTGCATTTGTCTCATTATATTTAATAGGGACAACCGTTCTTCATCATTTCTGCACGTGGCATCAATACATGAATTTAAAAATCTAATTTCTCTTATTTGCCGAAGAATGGCTTCTCTCTCTGTGGTATTATATATACGTGGGTGTTCGCAATACGCGAAAAAGAAATATGAAACGATATGCAACGTTTTGATGGTATCAGTTAATCAGAAAAAAATATACGAAAGTCGATACTTTAATTACATAGTACGCGCATAATATATCAAGACATAAATTTTAAAGCGAAGAAAAAAATGAAGTTTCTCGAAAACTGAATATAAAACCATCAAATTATCGCAGATAAATGTATAATTTTCAATAATTATAATTAAATATAACGCATTGCTTATGTAATATTAATTATTTGTATTCCATTTTATTGAGAAATTTTTATTAAGTTTATCGCTATTTCTCTTTTAAATGTATTGCCATCTTTTTATAAAAATTTATAATAAAAATCTTATATGTAATTATCCGGATAATATTTTTTAATTGCAGATCAATAATAATATTAATAATTGTATAATAAATATAAATATACGATCAATAATTACTATATGTAATAGAACATAAATTGTGAAATGAAATGATATATGCGGAGACGATGGTAATAAGGTTTACGTAACTGATTATATAAAAATTATGTAGAAAAATTCATGGTTTTCGTGTTATATAAAGTAGCAGAAGATTTATGGTTACAAGTTGTGCGCGGAAGTTCCGATGAAGGGATCCATTTGTCTTTGGAATAGATAGTTGCCTTCGACCTTTCGCGGGAGTGTTGTTTTCGCCGATGTAAAGTGACAGGACAGACCGCATTCGGTCCCAATTGTGTCAGGGCCCGTTCCTTCACCTCGCCTACGCTAAAAATGCTAAGCATGACACCGACCGATTCGGTGATCGTCGACATTTTTTTCGGATCCTAAATCACATATGTTCGCGAAAGTTGACACCTCGCGATAATGAAGAAAGAACGGGATTTAGGTTTCGATCGTTGTGCGCGTGCGTTCGTCATAAAAAATGTCATTATAATGACAATGTTAACGACAAGATAACCACATGATAATTACATCTAATAATTTACTTATATAATTTCATGATTTCTAATGTTTGGAATAAGGCGTTATTAATTAGTTAGTTTCGCCAAGTTCATTAATTGAAATAGACGCAATATAAAAAATAAATACAAAATATTGATCTGTCATAAAAGTTTGGATTAATTTTACGTGAGAATAATTAAGAATAACGCCAATATTAGTTTTACAAAAAATATGAAAAATTGACATTATAAAAAGACTGATTCTGTGTTTTAAATTAAATTGTTAATTATACTTAATGCATATATAACAAATTTTATGTACTTCTCTATCTTTATAATATCTAAGAGAAAACACGTCATATCGAAACAAACAATCAATTAATGACACATTTGAGCGTCTCAGAAACGCACGACTTCCCGCTTCCTGTTTCAGAGCAACCGCCAAAAACTGAGCCTGAGGAAAGATCTGGCGTGGAGACCGACAGCATCGAGACCGGGCTGCGCAAGGTGATTCGAAAGGACAGACTGGCGAGTCCTTTACGAGTCTCGTCTCCGTCCAGGAGCACGGCGTCCTCGTCGACGGACGACAGGACCCCACGAGCCGGTTCCGTCGCGCGAGAGAACAGCAACCTATCCAAGACCTCGTCCGGGAGCAAGACGCCCAAGGACAGCAATTCCAGCCCGGAGGGTAGTCCGCTGAACCGAGGCGGCTCGATGCGCAACCGGGGTAACGGAACGGTTCGCAAGTCAACGCCGAGCGGAAGTCTCAGCAAAGCGCTGTCACCGATACCGATTCCCAGTTTCACGAAGACGACGTCCGTCGGCGGTAGCGCCACGTGGAACGGCCGTCAGACCAGGCGGCGAGCAGCATTCAGACGGACACCTTCTTGGATCCGAGCTCGACGCCGGCCACGTGCGCCACGACGCCGAGTTTCTCGCGGAAGAGCCCGGGCAGGCAGAGTCTGCAGTCGCGGCCGAGCCTGAACGGAGTTCAGTACGATAGGAACGGCAGGAGGATCAGAGCGTCCGCTACGGGAACCGCGTCTCTCCAGTCGTCGCCTACGAAGGTGACGAATCCGTTGCTCGATCAGATACTGCAGAAACTGGGCGACTTGAAGGACGAGCGGCAGATGGTGCAGAAGCTGCAGGGCCTTCTGAGGGATTATCAGGCTACCTCGACCGACCGTGCCGCGAATATGGACTTCGCCAAAATGTGGGTGGACAGTAACGGGACGATGACTGTGCCTCAGGATGTTCAGGTATCGGTTTCTCCCCGAAAAGATCCCAAACCTCAGGAAGGTTGCTCGAGGATACCGGTGCCTCGTACCGTATCCTATAAAAGACCGATGTCCGTGGCATCGGATAGCGTTTGAGAGTGGTATATCGGGTAGCCTTCTTGCGTTAGGCTAAGTTAGGCTCTTCGACTCACCGCTGACATTAGCGAGAGCAACCATTCGCGTCTCTTGCTGCGCTTGATTCTTCATTCGATTTAATAGATGAGTCGGACGTCTTAATAACGGAGGGGCATATATATATTTTATAGTTGACTTTTAAAAATGTGTTTTATAATTGACTCGGAAAGATAGTACGTAAAGGGAGATTCAGAGATCTGTAGTTTGAAAAGTTTACCAATTTTTAGAAGTGCAGGAAAAGAAAAATCGAGAGAGTCCATGATAAGATTGAATTACTCTATACTAAAAAGATTATTTGTGTGATATCAAATTTTTACTTTTAGCGAGTGAAAAGTATCGTAAATAGTGGATTGGTCTAATTTATTTAAATTTTTTTAGACTATTTTAGATATTTTTTTAACATCGAAAGACGATGCTCTTTAAGAGATGCTCTCTACTAAATATTCAGAAATTCACAAAATTACAATTTTGTAATTTTTTTAATTATGTAAGCTTGAAGTTTCAAAGTGCTTGATATTTTTTTATCTCAAGATTTAAAATCAAAGTCAACTAACTTCAGATGCATTTTGAGATTAAAAAACACATTTACAAGTTTTAATATTTAAAACTTCAAAAACTTTAAAGAAAAATTCATAATTATAAAAACAAAGAATTCAAAATCTAAATTTTTTTCAATTCTGGACTCTACACTTGAAAAAATTCTTGTACTTGAAGTGTTTATTTTATTGCGGTGTGCATTATCATCACAGCAAACAATTTGACGCTTGGACTGTTGCTTTCTATTTCTGCTCTTCGCCTACGCCTTCAAACAACCATCATTGTAGATCGAAGACGTCCGACTAGAGAGTAACTTAACGGGCCTTAACGGTACGGGGTCAATCAGTTAGTAGCTCTTAGTAGTCACGTATCAGGGTGGTGCTTAGATGGTGCTGAAGAACGAGATGACGTTTACGATAGACGGCAAAATAAGAGAGAGAGAGAGAGAGAGAGAGAAAGAAAGGAAACTCGTTCCGTGGACAAGTTTTCAATTGATTAATACGGAAAAAGTGTGCAATTAAATGCGGCGAGTCTTGCATTAATGGTAGTCGATTTACGATTGCATCTTATATGTTCGTCAATTGCTGAGTTTGAAATAGTAATCTTTAAATCATGCACATTTTTTTTTAAACTGCAAAAAATATTTTTATTATGATAATTTTTGCAAAAATTAAAAATTTCTTTATACATATATATAATAAATATATATATATATATTTATTATATATATACTTCTTATATACACATATATGTATATATGTAATAAATAGGTATATATTTATTATATATAAATATATGTATATATATACACATATATAATGTGTGTATGAGTATATAAAGTTTCTTTAAATTTAATTAAATATATAAATATTATATTTAAAGCTTTTTTAAATTTTTTGATTCATGTGATTTGACGAGCGTGGTACTTTAAGATACTTAATATCAATGAATGATGCCAATTTTCAAGATCACGTATCGTGGAAGATTGTCGAGAGACCGTCGCGATTGCACGATCAATCGTTTTCACCGTTGCCGATCGGTAACGCCTAATCATTTTTATTTAATTATATAGTTTATCGATTATATTTATCAAAGATAATTTATTTATACGTTACGGCCTCGCCACGAAGGAGAGGAAAGAGAATGAAAGAAAAAGAACGAGAAAGGTACAGGAGAAAGAAAGAATCGAGGATCGAGTAAAAAAAAAAAAGTGAGAGAGACTCTCCCACGCTCGGATCCATCGGATATAAAATCAAACGACCCCATTTTTCCCTTTTTTTTCCCTTGCCCGTTTTCCCTGAAACCCCCGATAAGAAAACAGACTGCATTGTAGATAACGATGTGTGTGTCGTCGAAAAGAAATGCCATTCCAGTGTTTAACTGTTTTTTATACCAAACGCGAGCGTAGCGCCAAATTTTGTACCAAGTGTCTTAGTAACGGATTAAGGCGGAGAGAAAAGGATTATTTTGTGCGACAAGATGATTAGCATGCGAAAGAGGGATATTTTTTAGTACCGTGGTTTTAGATAGATAAACGGTCAATGTGCGAGTAGGAGCGTTTTATTATTCGGACGACGAATATATATGTTGCCGATATGATCCTCCTCCGTTCATTTCAGGAAAGTCTTCTTTAATTCGCTAACGTTGTACACGTGTTATACGTCGATCGAGGTAGGAAATGCGCGAAAATCGTGGCGAAAATCTTCCGTAATGAATATGAAGATTAGTCACGATGGACTCGAGTCGCCTTGCCTTATTCGGAATTCGATACGATTTCCTACGTCTTGCGCGTATAATGTCGTCGTGTTTTCTACACACGTACATACAATATATACACATACACACACACACACACAGTTATATAATTATAATACAACATTGCCTGTAAATATATTCGCGAGCAGTTTCGGCGAAAAATCTTCTATTGCAATCAAATTGATCTCTAGTCTAGACGGCCATGGTGTGTATCATTTATTTCACTTCGAAATGACGTTTAAATAAATGCACACAAAACAGATGGTCGAGAAAACACGACGGATTTGCTACTGAAGTTCGGTGCTGCGCAAACATATGGCGTTTTTATATCTTCTGTAAATATATAACGAGTACGTTGTTATAAAAAGCATATCTTCGTTTTTATCCTGTAAAGTATATTCTACTAAGTTAAGCTATAAGTTGACTTACCCTTCGATAATCATCGTCGCGATTAACACGGGTTATTTGTTACATGTCTCATTATAGTCTTCACGATAAAATACGTATTTTATATTTGGACTTCTCATCATAGTTTTATGGAGAGCACTAGCATTAGTGTATGAGAATGTTTGAAAAATTATCACGTAAACTTTGAAAATCGTGACCGCGCGAATAATCGATATTACGTGATAATATTTTAGGCTTACTCGTCTCATTGAAGGGTTAAGTATATCGAGATACTAAATCACCAAACATCATTCTCAGCGAAAATCAGAGATAAATCACTCGAGAGATTTATATATCGCATGATTGCATGATATAACCAGAGAATTTTGGTTCTCCAGAATATACAGGATTCAAGAGAAGCCGTAGCATTATATCTATGTATCTTGAAAATAATTTTTCTGCAAAATATCATCGAGACGTTATTTTAATCGATATCGTTCATTCACATACTTTCCTGATACAGAATAAGTGTATTCACGAGGCAATACGTAAATGTATCCATATATTGAAAAATTGCATGATGGCGATGCAGTAAAGTCTCGCGTGTCCGTATTTGATAATTCACAACACGATTGTGCAAAACGATCTCTGTGTTTTTCTGGGAAAATATTGCGCTCAGTTTCGCTTTTCTTAACAGTCATAGCGTTGTAACAACGTATACACCAGAACGATCTGGTGTAACGAGAGATAAGAGAATATTAGTTCTCCCGTTACAGTTTGCGCGTTAATTTTAGACGCGGGCGGCTAATTCTTAGGCCTAAGCTTTTGTAACCCCAACGATGTCACACGGCCGTGCGTTAATGATTAAGCAATATCGACGATTATCAATATTAATATTATTATTACAGCTATTGCTATGATGATATGATGATTATTCTCTTATTATATTATATTATTGTGAGATTATTATATTATCATCAAGACGATATAAAGATTAATTGCTATGATTATTATACGCAACGTTGCCTATGTTACGTTATCATTTTATCTACGAACAGTTGTAAATTGACCAAAAACTATATAAAAAGATTAATAAAAGGCCTTAACAAGAAGCGTTCGTTCATTTCAATATGTTCTGTCCTCTTGTACTCGTTTATTTTTTCATTGATTTATGTGAGGTGTCTATGGTACGATATGACAGAAAAATTGGCATGACACTCTGGGTTTCATAAAGTATTATCATCGAATTATTATATATATATTTTTTTTTCTCGATTCTCCCTTCAGATAATTAACTAATTTATATTTTCAGAAGTAATTAATTATGCATGAAAAAATATTTCGTTAAAAAAATCAGGTTTTTTTTTTAATATTTGTGTGTCAAGGAATCGAAGGGTAAGTTATTTGTCATATTTTCTGGATTTTTTCCTTCAGATAATTAATTAATTTACACTTATAATACCTTTTCAGAAGTAATTAATTATGCATGAAAAAAATATTTGTTGAAACAAATCAGGTTTCTCTTCTTTGAATATTTACGTATCAAGGAATCAAAGGCTAAATTACGAAAATCTGTCATATTTTCCGGATTTTTTTCCACGTGACGACGATGAAAGAGGGGTTATTACGAGGCCCAATACCTCATGGATAGACGGCCTTGCCGCAGATGGCGAGACGACTCTCCTCGGAGAGTGTGTATCTCAACTTCTCTCGGGTACGAGCGAGTGTGTGAATCTCGGAAGGAGCCACTTTTGAAATGTCCGACCGTCGCGCGCGAGATTTACGATCGGTAGTAGTAGCCTCGATAATAACAGCGACGATTGTGCCAGACTTTATAGGTATTAGCATAAAAGACGGCACGGGCGTGCGCGTATTTTCTGATCGATGAGCCTTCTCTTCTTTCGTCAG